GTAATCAACAGATTTTGATACTTCAATAGTATGACTTTATCCCACAACTCTTCCAATCATTATTCTTCTTGCTAATATTTTATTAGTCACAACCATACGATATGTCTTACTATTATCGTTATAATATGCTTAATATAGAAGTTTTCACATCAACTTGCTTGGCCGGCCAAAGTTTGAGTTCGCAATTATGGGCATTGATTGCATGCGAATTATCGATAAATAATAATCCCTCTGTTCCAAAATATTAGATGTTTTACGCTTTTTAATTTGTTCCAAAATATAAGATTTTCTCAATTTTTTAAGCAAATAAATGTGAGATAGAAGTTCAAAAGTTCCACTATTACAATCGGCAGATGAAGTTGTTGAAGTCGAAACATTAATTGGCTTTATCATTACCAATAATTTTTTCAACTCATTATATTTGACAAATGGATTCTTTCACATATACACAAAATCAAAAATCTGAGATTAAAAATGGAACAAAGAGAAAGCAAATCGAAAGATGTTGAACCGATGGAAAAAGACAATTCCTCACAAGTTCGATCTAAACCAACCGTATTATGACGAGGAGGAGCTTCATCCCAACGAAGTAGACGAACAGAAAGAAAGCAAATCAGAAATTATTCAAACAAACGATAAGTCAATTGCGAGCACCAGTCGAAATTTTGATCTCAACAAACCGTACGACGACGAAGAGGAAGTTCATCTCAACAAAGAAAGGGAAAACAAAGACCTGGAAGAATTTATAAAGACTATGGTGAAGCTTTGGATTCCTTCATATCGTTAGGTTTGGTCATCTTTAAACTTTATGGTGATGTTATTCAATAAGTAATTGTGTCTTTTTCTCATCATCTTCCTCTGTTTTTAGTTCTATGTAGTTTTCTTATTTTATAAGTAGTTGTGTTTTCTTTCCCATCCACTTCCTCTGTCTCTTGTTCTCTGTGTAACTTTCTTATTCAATAAGTAAGTTTGGTAAAATAGTGTTAGTGGGAGAGAAGACAGTACACGTATGAAAAAAGAAAAATTAATTCGAT